CAATAAGAAGTAAATCTAGTCTTAATATTTATTGATATTCAGTCATATCGATGGTGTATACCCTTTTTCTTTCTTTTTATTTTGCCGCTTATTTAGTGACTGGATGAGAATAAAAGTCCAAAGTTTTATCAAGTTACACCCTTGTCGGGGTAAGATAAGATATATATATATATATATATATATATATATATATATATATTGTATCAAAGATTCCATCTATCATTTGTCATTTTGAGTGTTACTATGTTTTCTTTGAAGTAGTTCACGCCAATTGTTGGTTATTGTTTATGTAAGATAGTTTCTTTCATTTAACTCAATATTTGAAGTTGATACTAGTTAGATAGACATAACACGTGTTTTTCTCAACTATCCACAAGATTGTCTAGTTGTTCAATAAATTCAATAACTTCATATCTAGACAATATAAAAATCAAAGAATCGGAATTTATGACATCAAGGAGGAGCATTTCTTTGAAAAGCTAATGTCTTGATACCATAGAGAAGATAATTACAAGTGTATGAACTAAATGATTAAGTGTTGTTTGGATTAACTGGATTGTACTATACTTAACTCCGCCTGGAGCCTCTCTGAGGCTACTGCCGGTTCCAAGCCCGAATAAAGGAGGAGGGTTGGGCTAAAAACACGCTTTACTAGAAAAAAAATAATTCAAACTATACTTGATTCAGATTACTTACTTTCAGAAAATGATTAACAGTATTCTCAGTATTCTCATAAAATCAGTAAATGATACCAGTTTACAAAAAGAAATCAGTACTTAAAGGTGAAACATTTTTCTATAAACGATTTTATTAGCCTATTGTTAAGAAATCATTCATATTACTTAGAAAGGAAAGATCCTTATAATGTGTTTTAGATCGGTGTATAAAAGATGTGGATTTTCTAAAACTTCTTGATGTTTGACTTACCACTGATTGTCATCATTCTTTTCGTTGAAAACATAACAAAACAGTTTTAGTATTTATAGTCTAGTGAATTTGAGAATCAATGATCATCTTCGACTAGTGAACTGTTTCATAATATAAGACTAGTTTATCATCTTTCTACTAATAAACAGAATCGCACTACTTTTCTCTGACATTCAGTGCAGCATGAAATATATAAGTATGTATATCATTAGTTCACAATGCGGAATGATCTTATTTAGACAAATACTGGAGACTAAAAAGCCCAGTACGTGACTTGTTTCCATTGCTAATCCCTGAGCCCCAATGGGGTTTTAACCCGAATTTTTTAGAAAGTCAGTTTTTTTTTCAAAATTGTTGAACAATGTGTGGTAACTCACTCATCATTATCACTATGTTAGTAAATGTATTAAACATAGTATCATACAGATTTCATGGATGCTGTCAATAATTTCTTTCTCATATTTCCAGTTAAGTTATAAGTTACTTAGTTAGTTGGTAAAAAGAGTTTATAGTGGCTCAGCTTCATTAATCGATCAACTTGATAACCGTTATTATATAATACCCAACGGTGTTTGAAATCAGAAGGTAATAAGAAGCGGCGACTACAGTTTATTAAAAGATAGTACAGATCACAAAGCTATAAGCACATCTAGCGAATTCGGAACACAGAAGCGAATATATGTGAGTTAGCAAATACAGAGGCGAATTTATGGTCAAATCCAATTAAGGTGTAGCTAGGCAAGGCAAAGGCTATTAATAGGATTTAAGTACATGGGAAAGAGAATGATTCATTGAGCAATATTTAAGATACTAACATTTAAGCTAAAGATATGAGTTTAAGCTGTACACATGTGATCAAGAGTACCCGTTGATCGTTATTCGGGAGATAATGTTCTTTTTGTGTATAACTAATACTCAAATGATTGTTAGGCAACTATTATCCTAATAGACTGACTAACAGGGAATTAATAAAACAGAGTAACACTACTGATAAACTGATGTATATATTTGTAGTGTCACAAAAGTCGTATAAAATTACAAAGTTTTTAACTGAATCAGTCATAAAATGAATAAAAGTGGAAATACTTATTCAGCTTTTCATTGAGATCATGAACCGATTGATGTTAGACCACCATTGGAGACCTGGAAGCACTGGATGGCCGTTTCGTCCTATCGTGGGACTCCTCAGCAGCGCGCATCCACGATCCCGCTCACGGGATTCGAACCCATGGCATCCAGTCTCGAGCGCAAACGCTTATCCTACTTGATCACTGAGCCGGCCGGCATCCAACGGTGTTAATGTCTAACCTCAACCTATTCGCCACATTACACGACCATCTTCTATTGTACTGAGGTAGATACCTGTCTCTACCCAACATGCATTAGCTCTACTGGTCACGGCTTCCCACTAAAACTTTGATAGTCCCCTCGCGAAGCTAGTCACTAATGAGCACATGGTAGAATTCTCATTTACAGTTTATGGTTAGAGTTAGAATGTTAGATCACGAATTGACATCAGTTATGATACCAAAACTTCATTTAGACAAATGTATGAATGGATTTTGCTCCGAAATTCGTGACTTGTTAGCTTATATCTGATTAGTTTGTCCATAAATTATTGTCTCGCCCTCAATATTGATCTCGGTAACATCTCAATAACATTTATTCACGAATATTTGCAATGATTTTATTGAAGTTAATATTTACTCTTGAAAGAAATATGATCATTTAAATTGTAGACGATCGTAAATCTTTACAACGTAGCTGCTGTCTTTTCAGTAATCATGGAAAATACTGTGTATTCTTGTAAAATTCTCGATAAAAACTTTGTCGTCACCGTTGGAGCCGTGCTTGTGTACTGGCGAAACGTTCTGTACTGTAGAATTACACTTAAATGTCATACTGATCTAATTCTTAGAGCTGGCTGAATCCTATCGATCAATTTGTAGTGTGGATATTGGCATCATTGATTTGAAAATAGGGACAGAATTTTTTGATGTCAATTGGTAGGTAAGAGTCAGTAGGAAACCCTTAACATATCTTTGAGTCTCCGACTGAAAACCTGGAAAATCCAGGAATTATTGGTTTCTTCAAGATTTCAGGTAAACCTTGATAGCAGATGCCAAATAGTCAGATGTTCAAGTAAAAACCTTCATGTCTTCTACTTTGAACTACGTACTATCAAAATGTTTGTGTACTTGTATTATATTTTAAATAATGAACAAGTTATTTTCTGATCTAAAGCTTGCACAGATCAACTGTAGTTCGATGTAGTTATGTATCATAAATTTCCTGGAGAACTGCTAAACATAGAAAAACAGTGTTTATAACTTCTAAATTTGAAAGAGTTTTAACCATTATCTATTTCAGGTTATTGCATGCTGCTTTCAGGATAACATAGTAGTAAACAAGAGCAAAAGTGAAAATTGAAATTCAATGAGAAAAGAAGAACCAGTCTTATAAAGGAAAATATGAGGCAGTACCACAATAAATCCACCTGATATTGTTTGTTTCAATCTTCCAATTGATGTTTAAGACTGCAATTGATCAGTCTTTTATTGGCATATGTGCATACTATGCGTATTGATTCGAAATGACCTTAATTCACAAGCATTATATACAAAGATGAACTCAGTAGTTAAGTGGATACCGTGATAAAGTTTGAAGTGAACAGTACTGAGTTCGAGTCCCAAAGTGAACATCAACTCTGAGATGCAGATACACTCACCTGAATAGTTTCAAATAGGACGAAACGCTCATTCTTACTTCCACTGTTAGCAACTATCTATATTTGCACATTAGTAACTCAATAGTTACGAAAAGAATATACAAATAAAATAATGAAATATTTTAGGATATAACTGACAACATGGTTAGAAAATGAGGTAAAATCTTTCTTCATCATTGTTAACCTGTAGATAGTTAACTTGTATATTACTCCTTAAAATATTGGTTATATGATAGGAATAAGTAGAATTGTTCCCTATTTTCAGAACACATATTTACAGTAATTTGTTTATATTCAATGATAGAATGTTTATATTCACTGATTTCATGTCATAAAAATGTTTACTACAAATGTATCTTGGTAAAATCTAACACTAGCAGGTCACACGACTGGCTAAACATTAGAAGAAGAACAAAAAAGAAACACAATTTATATGTTTCAATAATCGGTATAACACCATATTTTTACTGCTTTACATATTAGATTGTTACGTCAAATAAGAAAAAAAAAGGAGGGTGATACACTATAACTACCATCAGAAAAATCCGACAGGAAATGAGTTTTTTCCGTTATTGACAATCTTTTCACTTGTCTACATTTTGTTTTTCCTTTTAAATAATTTCTATGCATTTTGAAAACACACACACACACATAAGTCTTAAGATTTATTTCCGATTAAAATATGATAGTATTTATGAAATGATATAACGAAATCGATACTTATTAACTTACTTATTTACTTACTTACATTTGTTATTCCTCGTGTAAGAGCATAGGCCGCCCACCAGCATTGTCCATTCAATCCTGTTCTGGGCAGTCCCTTCCAGTTGTTTCCATTCCTTATTCATCCTTTTCATATCTGCTTTTATTTCTCGACGTAATGTGATATTTGGTCTTCTTTTTTTCGTTTCCTATCAGAATTCCACGTTAGGGCTTGCCTCGTGATGCAGTTTGATGATTTGTATAATGTATGTCCTATCCATTTCCATTGTCTTTTCTTAATTTCTTCTTCAGCTGGAAGCTGGTTTGTTCTCCCCCACAAAAAGCTGTTGCTGATGGTACCCAGCCAATGGATGTTGAATATCTTGTGTAGACAACGATTTATAAATATTTATACCTTCTTGATAATGGTTGTAGTAGTTCTCCAAGGTTTAGCTCCCTACAGTAAAACTGACTGTCATGACGTTCGTTCTTAAGATTGTGACTTTGATATTGTTTGAAAGTTGTTTTGAGTTATATTTGTTATACAATTGTAGGAATGCGACCCTTAAAGAGATTGATAAGAATTAGTAAAATAACATTAGATCAATTTTGATGAATGATAGCAACAATATTAAATTAATTGTCAGGATGATGATGATGATGATGATGATGATGATGATGATGATGATGATGATGATGATGATGATGATGATGATGATGATGATGATGATGATGATGATGATGATGATGATGATGATGATGATGATGATGATGATGATGATGATGATGATGATGATGATGATGATGATGATGATGATGATGATGATGATGATGATGATGATGATGATGATGATGATGATGATGATGATGATGATGATGATGATGATGATGATGATGATGATGATGATGATGATGATGATGATGATGATGATGATGATGATGATGATGATGATGATGATGATGATGATGATGATGATGATGATGATGATGATGATGATGATGATGATGATGATGATGATGATGATGATGATGATGATGATGATGATGATGATGATGATGATGATGATGATGATGATGATGATGATGATGATGATGATGATGATGATGATGATGATGATGATGATGATGATGATGATGATGATGATGATGATAATGATGATGATGATGATGATGATGATGATGATGATGATGATGATGATGATGATGATGATGATGATGATGATGATGATGATGATGATGATGATGATGATGATGATGATGATGATGATGATGATGATGATGATGATGATGATGATGATGATGATGATGATGATGATGATGATGATGATGATGATGATGATGATGATGATGATGATGATGATGATGATGATGATGATGATGATGATGATGATGATGATGATGATGATGATGATGATGATGATGATGATGATGATGATGATGATGATGATGATGATGATGATGATGATGATGATGATGATGATGATGATGATGATGATGATGATGATGATGATGATGATGATGATGATGATGATGATGATGATGATGATGATGATGATGATGATGATGATGATGATGATGATGATGATGATGATGATGATGATGATGATGATGATGATGATGATGATGATGATGATGATGATGATGATGATGATGATGATGATGATGATGATGATGATGATGATGATGATGATGATGATGATGATGATGATGATGATGATGATGATGATGATGATGATGATGATGATGATGATGATGATGATGATGATGATATGAGGATGCTTACATGCACTGCTGAGCAGTCCCGTAGTAAGATGAAACAATTATCCAGTGCTAGTAAGTTCATAATGGTTGTTTAACTACGATTAGTTCGTGATATTTTAAAATCATTTATCATTATTTATAAAAACGCAATGAAACAAAATAACACACGTATGAATTTAACAGTCTAAAGAAAATAACATTTTGGTCAGTAAAACTCTTTAATCATACATTATTCAAAGTAATAAATCAAATAATCCAATGACGTAATCAAACCGTTTGTGTATGTGAGTGTGCTTTTTATTTTAGATGAACTTCTTACTTCAGTAGTTTACTAATAGAAAAGAAAAATGGTATTTCAAGGGAAGAGTTTAGAGTGAAAAAAATTTTGTATCTACTCTAATAGATGTGTTTTTTCCCCCTGTCATACTACACATCGGTAATCATACACATAGAATGATATATTAGTTGTCAGGTTAAGTGTTTTCATCTATTCACTATTTTAACGTACAATGAAACACTATAAATCTGTACTTATAGTTGAATAGTTATAAATGTAGTAAACAATATTTGTCTTATTTTCTTACTTATTCATTGATGTGTATATAGACATATTGTAGTTAACTTGAATTCTGTTTTTTTTAATTTTTATTTTTTCCTTCTTTCTTTCTTTTACACCATTCAACTAATCATGCATAACTCATTTACATACATAAGTCCCTATTATCAGGGTACTTGTTTATTTGTTAGTTTATTTCTCTCTTTTATAGTCCAATGATCAGTTTTTCTCTATTTTGAATTTCTCTATAATCAAACATTTATTATTACTATTACCATTACTATCATTATTACTATTAGTATTATTATTATTACTATTATTATTACTCAATCAAGTGGATGAATTCAGCTGAATAACAAGACTCTTATGAATAGATAAAGATAAGTTTTGATTAATTTATTATTGGATTTCTTTGTTTTCATTTTATAACTTTCTTACTATTATAATTTCATTTTTTTATTATTCTTTCTATTTACTCATTGTATTCAATCCTATTCAATTCGTCTTTCTTTCACTATCTGTCTCTCTTGCTCGCTTGCTCGCTCGCTCGCTCACTCGCTGGCTGGCTGGCTGGCTGGCTGGCTGGCTGGCTCCTTCTCTTTTTGTCTCTTGATCTGGTTAGTTTTAAAGAATAGGTTGATGAATAACAAATTGCCAATGTCTGTCTTTTTCTATGTGTGTATGTGTGAGTGTTTATGTGTACATCTAATACAAATTGGATTTAAGTTAAAAGATAACATAGACATTAAGTTTTTGTTATACTCTAAATGACTACTCATATTATTACTATTATTGTTGTTGTGATATTATTGGTATTGTAATTTAATGAATTTGTAATCATCATAAAGGAAGGAATGAAAATAGAAAAGTACAAATAATTAGGAATAAAAACTATTCTTTCTTCTCTTTTTTTGCTTGCTCATACGTTTATCTTGTGAAATGTGTACATCTTCCCTTCATTTCCACTTTTTTTATTGAATACGAATAAGAATGTATCATATGAAGTAATCTGTTTCTGTTTATTATTTTATTTCTTTGATATTTATATCAACAAACTTACTATCAGTGGACTATTGGCTATGCGCTCGCGCGCGAGACGCATAGGTCCTCGATTCGAATCTCGTGGGGGGGGAATCGTGAATGCGCACTGCTGAGGAATCCCATGCTAGGACGAAACGGCCGTCCAGTGCTTCCATTTTTTCCATGGTGGTGTAGTTTCAATTGACTCATGATTTCAACTATTGACACTTACTATCACTCTGTCCTTTTCATCGCTCTTAGTATTATTATCACTTCAATGTGTAGTTATACATCTACGAAATGGAAATGTGTATGTACGCCTAAGAGAGTGTATCATTCAATAATGTTTACTACTGTAATATCAATGATCTATCTATTTATCCATCTGCCGATTTAATTACTTACCAATTCATCAATTATATAAAACAGATTTGTAAAACATTACATAACGAACAAACAAACAAATAAAGAGAATACTGATTTTTTCCCGATCATGAAAGTGAACATTTCAAACAGCAACAAAATTTGATAGTAATGATCCAGATAAATGGTGCGGAACAATTTGTCAATGCAAACAAACAACACCCCATGACACGTGGTCGTGGATGTGCACTGATGAGGAATCCCACAACGGGGCGGAACAGCCGTCCAGTGCTTCCAATTTTTCCATGGTGATCTAGCTTCGATTGTCTGATGATCTCAACTATTGAAAATAAATAAAAGTCAGAATGCAAATGTTTCATTATTTATTTGGTTATTTTTTTTTATATAAAATAAATGAAAAATTTACTAACTATACTAAACATTTATCATACTATTTAGAGTATACACTTCAAAAGTAATGAAAAGAAACAAGATTGGAAGAAAGAAAGAAAGAAAGAAAGAAAGAAAGAAAGAAAGAAAGAAAGAAAGAAAGAAAGGAAAAGACTAAACAATCAAAGAGACAAATATAATTGATTGACTGATTGATTAGTTAATTGTCCTTGTAAGAGAAGATAAACAGAACTTCAATTATTTCTATCTTTGGACGAAACATTTGTTATTCCTGTTTATTAATGTAGGAGTGATTATAAGCTAAAAAATAATAAAAATACTTTAATAGTATTTCATTGTACAACTACATTGTGTTAAAAATGGTCAGTGTTAATTCAATAGAATTAGTGAAATTAAATAATTCTGGTTTAGTGGTCTAGAGGTCAAGTGTCTACGCGCGAGATCGATAGGTCTTGCTTTCGAATCCCGGGAGCGAGATTGTGAATGTACACTGATAAGGAGTCCAACAATAAGATGAAACAGCTGTTCAGTGCTTTCAGGTTTTCCATGGTGGTCTAGCTTCAAATGACTCATGAATTCAACTATTAAATTAAATCACTCAATTGATTTTCATCGTTTACAACACTAACTAGTCGTATTTAAAAAACCATTGAGAGCCAGAAACTTCTAGACTACTATTTTGTTCTAGTATGAGACTCTGTATCTATGTCGATATATGAACCTATCAAGGATCAAATCCAGGATCTTAAATTCTCATAGACCATTTGGGTTACACTCAATTGTTTACAATTCTGTCTTCAATCAATTTTTAATACTGTGTAAATATATTTTTAATTTCATTAATGGTTAAATGGTTCATACATGATATGTATGAAATCCATTGGTGACGGCTCCTTATTAAGACTTCAAATGGAAAACTTATTGATTTCATAGACTCAATAAAATGGGATAACTGACTGGTGAATAGTCTTTGATTGGTTAATGATTGCAGGTAGCATAACAGATGAATTCAGTGTTGATAAAACAATGATTAGCTGATTTTTCCAATTTCTTCGAGTATGAATAGTTTTAATACTTGAAGATATGATTAGACACAGTGAACAACTTGAGTAACCGATTATGTAAACGTTTCTACTAAATATGTGTCATGTTGACCAAGTTATATACATGAAGCTAATCCATGTTTTTTGATATACCTAATCGGCTGTAGCTGAATACTCAGTTGAAATTCATTGTCTGATACTTTCATCTTCTAGAAAACATCATATAATGATCTCGATCTGATTGTTAAAAGCAACTATAATTCATATTGATACAGTTAATTTCTTAAAAATTTCACTTTCTGACAAAAAAACTAGATAAAATGATTTATATCATCAGAATTAATGGAGGTAATTCACGCATCAAGTTTTTTTTTTAATTAGGTCGTTTGAGAAATCTAAGAGTATTTTTGCTACATGATAACTGTAGTCAAGGTGACTTACTCAAATATTTGAACAAATAAACTTATAGATAACTTAATTAACTGAATACGAATGAAAGAGACTGCCTGTAAAATATTATTTGGTGAGATTATAATTTATGAACGACCTATGAACGACACTAAACTGACCTTGAAAGTATCCATCTGCTTACTAGGACTAAATGTGTGTTATAAACTAGTGTGAGGAATTAGAATTATGATTTACAATTGATGGTTAGAGTTACAAATTAGATTTATTGTGTTTTTTTTATCACGAAATGATATCAGCTAAAATGCCAAAACGCTATTTAGCCAAATAAATGAATGAATATTACGCCAAGATCCAAGACCTGTTATCTTAAATCTGATTGGTTCTTCCATAAATTATAGTCTCGTCATTGGAGCTGACAATTCTTTACGGTATTGTTATTATTCATTATAATCATATCATATTATGTTGCAATATAATATAACCTTGGTATATTAGTAACCTTACTTACTTATTAACTTACTTACTTACTTACTTAATTACTCACTTACTTACTCACTTACTTACTTGCTAGCTTACTTACTTACTTACTTACTTACTTACTTACTTACTTACTTACTTGCTTACTTACTTACTTACTTACTTACTTACTTACTTAATTACTTACTTACTTAATTACTTACTTACTTACTTACTTACTTACTTACTTACTTACTTGCTTGCTTACTTACTTACTTACTTACTTACTTACTTACTTACTTACTTACTTACTTACTTACTTACTTACTTACTTACTTACTTACTTACTTACTTACTTACTTACTTACTCACCTACAACTCTTAATCCCGATAGAGTAAAGGCCAACGACCGGCATTTTCTAATAAACTCTGTTCTGAATCTTCTTTTCTAGTTCTATCCAATTCTTGTTCATTCTTCTCATATCTGTCTCCATTTCTCGATGTAATATATTCTCTGGTCTTCGTCTCCTCCTTTGACATTGAGGATTCCATGTTAGGGCATGCCTTGTGACGCAATTCGGTGCTTTCCTCAATGTGTGTGCTATCCACTTCTAACACTTCTCCCTGATTTCTTCCTCCGTTGGGATCTGATTTGTTCTCTTCCACAGTAAGTTGTTGTTGATAGTGTCTGGTCAACGGATCCTAAGTATTTTGTGTAGACAACTGTGAATAAACACTTGTATTTTCTGGATGATGGCTTTCATAATTCTCCAGGTTTACGCCGCATACAATAGAATTGTTTTGATATTTGTATTGAAAATT